CAGCAAGTGAGCTTATCAATATTTATGGGAAGACACTGCCTCATATTTCTCTCATAAAGCTGTCAATAGATCTGAATCACAGCCCTTTAACTAAGCAGCCTACACTACATACATACATAGTACGCATACGTAGTACGCTGCATAACATTCCATGCTACCAGAGCTCCTTCTCTGCCAAGTCCACTACCATCAAGTTGATTCTGACTCACAGCAGCTCTCGGTAGGATTTGTGATGCTGTAAATCTTTACAGAAGGAGACTGGTCATCTTTCTGCTGTGCAACACATGACTCACTGTGCCACCAGAGCTCTTTTATCTGTCAAAAGGGGATTAAAAAATAACAGGCTTATGTCTGTGTTGTAAGAATAAAATTATATGAATGCCTGACATGTAGCAGAAGCTAAAACAAACTCTTCAAAGATAGCATTTATTGTAACTACAGGACTTTTCTCTTCCTCAAATTCAAACCTTCTAAAAAAGTCTGAAGCAATAAAGAGGTTAAAAAAAATTACATACACATCCAACTCTATTTCCATTCCCTCAAAGCTTGTTAAGTTAAACACATTTAGTCCCATTCATATTGAATTCATTTTATAAATACTGCATATGAAGACAGAGATTATTTTCTTTTTATCTAAAGAAAATTTTTATTTTATACTGTTTCACTTATAAAGTTCATATACATTGTTTTTTCACACCAGATTGTTCCCATTTCCTTTACCCACGCCTCCTATTCCCATCAAATTGTGCGACCACTACCCCCTCTACTCTTCCCTCCCCACTTGGATCCTTATACACACTCTACAATAATGGTTTTATATAGTATTTGTCCTTACGGGACTGAGTTAGTTCATTCAGCCTAATGTTGTCCAGTCCTTCCCAAGTTAGGTAGAGATTTACAAAATCATTGCCACTGCATGCTGGGCAGTATTCCATTGTGTGAATGTACCATGATTTCTCAACCCATTCGATTGTGGTTGGACATTTGGGCTGTTTCCATGCTATGGTGAATAATGTTGCTATGAACATCGTTGTACAAGTCTGTTTATACCTCAGTTATCATTTTCTCAGGGTATATTCCAAGCACTAAAATAGCTGGGTCATATGGAATTTCTATGTTCAGCTTTCTGAGGAAATTCCAAACTGCCTTCCAGAGTGGTTGTACCATTTTACAATCACCACATCCTCTCCAACATTTATGACTTGCTGGGCTGCTAAACTTTGCCACTGCTACTGGAGTTATCTCATTGAGATGTTATCTCATAGTGATGTTGCTTTGTGTCTCTCTTATTGCCATTGATTTTGAACATTTCTTTGTGTGTCTGTTGGCCATCCAAATGTGTTCCTCTGTGAAAATTATTTCCATGTATTTTACCTTTTTTGTAATTGGATTATAGTCTTTTTTCTTCTGGAGGCCCAGAAATATTCTATAAGTATTTATTACAAGATCCTTGTCTGAGAATGTATTGTAAAATGTTTGTTTGCAGTCAGTAAATTTTCTTTACACCCTGTTTGAAAAGTTTTTGATGCACACAGGTATTTAACTTTTAGAAGGCCTGATTCATCAATTTTATCCTTTCTCCAGGTTGTGCACTTCTGGCTGTATTTGGCAGTCTCCTTATACCATATACTAGGCCTCCTATGCTTGATTCCAGTTTGTTTCTGATGAACGTCATTTTTTTGGACTTTACTCCCAGGTATCTGATCCACATTGAGTTGATTCTTGTGTATGGTGTGAGATGTGGATCTTGTTTCACCTTTCTGCAAGTAGCAGTCCAGTTTTTGCCAGCAACATTTGTTGAAGAGGTTGCCATTTTTGCATTTGATAGGTTTTATTTTCTTGTCAAATATCAGTTGAACATAGGCAGCTGGGCCCATTTCTGTGTTCTCAATTCCATTTCATTGGTCTATGTGTCTGTCATTGTACCAGTACTATGTTGTTTTGGTTATTACCACTGTGTAGGAGGTTTCGAGGTCACTGTGCCTCCCACTTCATTTTTGTTTTTCAGAAGTGCTTTGCTTATTCAGGGTCTCTTTCCTCTCGAAATAAACTTCACAATTTTCCTTTTCACCTCCTTGAAAACTGAATTTTTTTAATCTGTATTGGTGTTGCATTGAACAAGTATATTGCTTTTGGTAGGATATACGGAGAAGAGATTGAGGTTGTTAACAATTATAGCTTGCTTGGCTCCACAATCAACTCTCTTAGCACCAGCAGTCAGGAAATAAAAAGATTAATTACATTGGGAAAATCTGCTGTCAAGGACCTCTCTAACAGTACTGAAAAGCACCAATGTCAGTCTAGAAACTAAGGTGCATCTAACCTAGGTCATGGTCTTTGCAATTACTTGTTGTGTGTCAGAGAGCTGGACAATGACTAAGGATGAAGGAAGAATAATTGATGTCTTTGAATTATGGTGCTGGAGAAAAGTCTTGAACATACCATGGACTGCCAAGGAAACAAATAGATCTGTCTTGGCAAGGGTGAAATCAAATTTATCATTGGAGGCTAGGATTTTGATGCTTTGTCTCACATACTTTGGGCATGTGGCCAGGAGAGATTGATCTTGGAGAAGGATATTAAGCTTGGAAGGGTGGAAGGACAGCACAGGAGAGAAAGACGCTAGATGAGATGGACTGATACAGTAACTGGGGCAATGGTGGTTGGTGTGTTGGAATTAGTAAGACTGGCTCAGGACAGGGCAGGATTCAGAGCTGCTGTACATAGGGTTGCTATGGGTCACAAGTGACACACCAAGACACATAATAACAACAACACAGAATTAAAGACTAAAATTGTTATACTCCTATCAGTTCATGGGTTTTTTTCCCAATCTTTGGCTATGCATCAGAGAGCCAGACAATGAATATGGATGACCTAAGAAAAATTGATGCCTTTGAGGTGTGGCGTGGGAGAAAAGTGACAAATATCCCAACCACTGTCAAGAGAACAAACAGATAGGTTTTGGAGAGGGTAAGGCCAGATTTCTTCTTGGAAGCAAGTATGGTGAGGCTTGAAAGCAAGTATTCTGGGCATGCTGCTACGAAAGGCTATTCCCTGGAGAAGGATATCATGTTCAGAAAGGTGGAGGGATGGCGAAAGAGACAAAGACCCTCAACCAGGTGGATTGACCCAGTGGCTACAGTAATGGGCTGCAGTGTGTCAGTGATTATGAGGTTAACACAGGATGGGTCAGGGCTTAGATCTATTGTTTATATGGCCACTTTAAGTCATAATTGACTCAACAGCACCTAAAAATAATAATCAGTTCTGAGTGGTTAACATTGATTTCAATGTGTGCAATCACATAACTTGAAATTACAAATTAAATGTGAAATTGACAATCGAGAATTTGCATAGAATCTATTTCTTTTCTTTGGTCTATCCTGAAAAAATAAGCCAGCAGCATGGTCTTCATGGTACTTTAACCCAGAAATAACAAATGACAGTTTCAATATATTTTTAAAAATATTTTTGTTCTTTTTTTTTAAACAAAAAATTACCTAGTTCTTATTTAGAAATAGTAAAACTTTTTACAATTTTCAGAAAGTAAATACTCTCCCATGAAGTCAGCTCTAACATGTAAATACTTCATTTCATATTCACCTTCTTCAATTTCATGAGGGTCAGTACTCACTTTATTGGTATTTCCTGAGGTCAGTGTTCCATATCTCTTCTGTGTTTACTCTACTCTTCAAACACTGAGGTCTTTTGCAAGGGCTGAAATAGGTAAATTCAAACATTCTCCAAGGGGTGAAAATATCACCTCAAGAATAATGGCAATATATTCAGTTATATTCTCAAGACAGAAGAGCTGTCTCTCAGAACTAGAAGCAGGATGGGAATGAGAGTTTGTGTGTCTTCACTGAGAAAGGTTTCTCCTTGTTTTTACTTTGGATATTCTGGTTTCCTGAGCCTAAATTTAACCAAGCGTTAGGAAGGGGGAAAGTGGGGATGTAGAAAAATATTTGCTATTTACCTATATGTTAGTTGGTCATACTCTGGCGGATTGCTTGTTGTTATGATACTGGAAGCTATGTCACTGGATCTCAAATACTATTAAGGTATTCTGGTGTGAACAGGGTTACACAGAGCTTCCAGTCCAAGACAGACTAGGAAGAAGCTCTAGAAATAAACATCCTAAAACATACTGCTGGAAAATGAGTTCTTCATAATGGAGGACAGCATTGGACTCAAACATGCATAACTCAACAGCAATAAACAGCGATCAAAATTGCAATTAATCTATGCAGTCAGTTCCACAATCAACACTCTTGTCACCAGCAGTCAGGAAATCAAAAGATGAATTGCATTAGGGAAATCTGCAGTCAGGCACCTCTCCAGAGTGCTGAAGAGCAAGGATGTCAGTCTAGAGACTAAGGTGCCAGGTCTTCACAATTACTTGCTATGTGTCAGAGAGCTGGACAATGACCAAGGATGAAAGGAGAGGAATCGATGCCTTTGAGTTGTGGTGCTGGAAAAGAGTATTGAACTTATCATGTGCTGCCAAGAAAACGAACAGGTCTATCTTGGAGAGGGCAAAACCAAGCTGTTTATTAGAGGCAAAGATTTTGAGACTTCGTCTTACTTACTTTGGACACATGACCAGGAGGGACCAGGCTTTGGAGAAGGATGTCATAGTTGGAAGGGTAGAGGGACAGCAGAGGAGATAAGATGAGATGGATTGTCACAGTAACTAGTGTAATAAGGGTAAGTGTGTGAGAGGCAGAGGGATTGGCTTAGGATCCAGAGCTATTGTGCATAAATTTGATACGAGTTAGTTGATTCGACGGCACATAAGAACAACATGAAGCATTTTGGTGATCTTCCTCAGAAACCTGAATTATTTGGAAGATTAACAGGGTCTAACAATCCTGTTTATATTATAGAGAAAACAAAAGTACATGTGCTGGGGATATTGGTGTGCTAACATCCCATTTCTATTTCTCCACAGAAGGTAGACCTGCTCATTTCAATAATCATCTCACTTGCTCTTCTAGCTGCTGTGGTCTGTGTGACACTTCTCAACAGATTTGAAAGTGACCAGATCAACCTCCCTCATGAGGTTCTGGTAGAGTACCAGCAACGACCTCAGCTTTTGATCTCCAACTTCATCAAACAACAGCTTGGACTCCATAGGATCTCCTAGTTGTCCCCTGCATGTCTACAGCTCACATTGTAAAGTTAAAGTCATACATTATGTGTGGTGTTTTCATATAGTTCTTACTCACACACTAAAATTAAAACAGAGAGATTCTATGCAATCTTCTTTTTTCTCATAAAGATAAAATTGATTGTAAAGGGTTTCAAAGTCACATTTAATTCCACCCCAATTTCATTGGAAAGTAAGTGAACTGAATCAGCTTAATAGTGAAATCTTAAAAAAAAAATCCTGGATGGTGACATTTGGAGTTTTATATGCAGCATTAAGCTCACATCAAAATAGATCAGCCATTTGTAGATACTGTTACCAGTCTCTCTAAATTTGAACCCAATCCAAAAATTCTTGTTAGAACATTGTCAGGCACTTCTAGGTGTTGGACAAGTGACAGAAATTGATCATCCACATTCAAAATACTTACAGAAAAAGTGTCACTGTGATGTTACTCTACATGGGAAAGTTCCCCTTGGAGAAATGTGTGACCATACCTCTTTCTTTCCCTGTCTATCAGAACAGATTAGAAGCCCACAGATTTGCCTATGATCGTGGTTTTATCACATTGTGGAACTGCTCAGGATTACACATTTATTTTCAAATTAAAAGTATCAGTGCTACCAAGAAAGATTCTCATGTTTCTCTAGAAATCACACGTTACTAGATTGCCTTCTAGCAATTTTTTAGAAAAGAAAATGTGATTTGAAAGAAGCTGTGGGTTTTGGGGTTTTTTTTTTTTTTTTTGGTCTCATTTCATCCCATTAACAATTGAATCCAGACTTGAGTTCTGGTTGTTAAAATAGCCCATTTGTGGGGCTTTGTGGCAGGTATTTACTCAGATCCTGCCTCTTCCTCTATCCGGTTTGATCCTCTGGGAGGCATGGTGGCAATGATAGGCTACATCAGGATCTATGAACTGCTCAAGCCTGGGAGTTTCTTCCAAAGCTGGCACACTTGAGTATTGAGCAGAACAGCTGGAAAAGGACTTATACAGTCTGTAATGTTTTATGTATATATGTTTACATGACTGTGGTTCAAATAAAATTTCATTTCAACCATGATACAGATTACTTGACTCCTGAAACCATTTTCACATGGCACAGAAAGGGAAGCATAGAATGGGATTCCCTTCTGGTGTGACACAGGTCCTTGACTGAGGGAGTCTGAACTGGCTTCTCCAAGCCCAGGCAAGGTTTTCACTTTTAATCTGCAAGAATAAACAATTCCCTGAAAGACGGTCCAGGTTAGCAACTTCTTTTTGCCCTACAAATATTTGGAGTGCAGTTTTCAAGGCCCCCTGATAATTGAAGATCAAATACCTAGGTCATGACTAAGAGGAAGGTGGAATATAGCCTCTCAGTCATTTTTTTAGTGAGGTTTTCTTTTTTTTTTTTTTATTAGATCAAGTGAAAGCCACTCTTATGGTGCCATCTATAAGCCTTCAATATGAACTTTCATCTGCTTCTAAGCAATCCTCTTCACTTTCGTTTTTACTGGGAGAAGTGAGGCCTATGAGAGGCACAAGAGCAAAATATTTACTATTTAACTCTCTTTTTGACTCCTGACTCTATATGTGGGTTTGAGAGAGAATGTAGGTAGGGTGAATGTGTGTGTGTGTGTGAGAGAGAGAGAGAGACAAAGACAGAGACAGAGAGACACACAGAGAGAGAATTAAAATTTATGTCTCATTAAAAAAATAGAAAGTACTAGTTGAATGAACCAGAAACCTGGAAAATCTCATTGATGTTTCTTTCTCCCCAATTCCCTCATCCAGTCAATCACCTAGTCCAATTAATTAATCTTTCTTTGTCTCAAAACTCTTAATGTCTTTCCATCTCTGTACTCATCCTAGGCCAGATGCCTGCAGTGGCCTCATCCCTCATCTTCCTGCCTCTGTTCTTAAAATGGGACTAGGTTGTCTTCCTGCTTCAACGATCTTAGTCTTGGAATGAAGACCACCAAAGTCCTCAGCACAGCCAGAAGCCCCTACATTCGTTATTGGGCCCAGTTTGAGCTGTCTCGCTCATTTTGTCACTTCCCTCCCTCCCACATACACCTGCCATCAGAGCACAGCGTCCTTGGGTTCTTAAATTGCACCCAAAGCCACTGTTTGGGAAGGTATATCACCACTCAGCTGAGGGCAGAATTGGGGCTGAAATTTAGCCTGTACCCTATACCCTATGTATCCCTTCAGAGAGAGGCCTCTTGGTTTAGCCGCCACATAATTATAGGACAATGAGGGCTTTTAATGCTAACATTTCTTTTCACTTCAGCATTTCTGCTGTCCCTTCTGGTAGCAGAGGTCTATAGAGAGTTGCCTGCTGCATCCAAGACCAAGACTCTCCCGAGTTCGAATCCACCAGCATCCTGGGGGGAAAGATAGGCATCCTTGTCCAGTGCAATTTACAGCCTTGGAAACTCCCTGGGAGGTTAAGTCTCACCTCCAAAGCCGCATTCTCTGCAAAACCTTTGTGGGTGAGATGACTTCCAGCCGCTCACGGCGCCCTCTGCTGGGCGCTATTACTATCAGGAGCTATTAAGGGTGGGTTTCTGTTGAGTTGATTTGAACTCGAGGTGTCCTAGACTCTGCAGAGCAGGAGAGAGAGACTGCACTGCGCCCGAATGGCTCGATTCTAAAAGGCAGAGGCACTACCTGTTTATTTACACCTCTTTCCCCAAAACATTCAAGACAGGGCATGCCACACACTAGGTGCACAGTAAATTCTGGGGTCGTGAAGAACAAGTCCCTTATAAACTCACTACAACAATCCGAGTCTTTGAACGGCTCTGCTTCTTCGGTCCCTTCTCAGCACAACATGCCCGGACTGTCCTTCCCTCTTACCTGTCTCTGTGCAGTGGGACACTCTCTGCTGTCAGTGTGCAGTGTGGTGACGATGTTTGGGAATTCTTGTTTCCACATATGGCACGTGAGAAAAGGGACCTTTGCATGCATATGTCTCAGAATGGAGATACATAATTTCACGGGTTCACAAACCTCGCTACCACAGTCGCGGTTCCTGTGAGCCGTGGTCACCCTGGGCGCTGGGACCCGGTCCCTCTGCAGTTCCCTTCAGCCCCCCCTGCTAACAGCTGTTCCCAGTTGCACCATCCATTAATGCTTTGCCTCAGTCCTGCCCACCACAGTGTAAACAGGACCGTTAGTAAGTTCTCTCGGTTGCCCGGCTTAATTGTGCCATCTGGTTCCTGCAGCGACCAAGTAATAGAGTCTCCAGAACACATCTGGGCACCCAAAACCATTTTTTTTTTGGGAAAAAAAATTGACTTAAGAAATGGAAATAGTTCTGTACAAAATTCTAGCTTGCCAAATTTAAAAGCAAACCAAAAAAAGCCCAACTCCCTCCCCTCTATAAAGGGTAGTTTTTAAATTATAATCATCTAGGTAAGAATATAACATGTTTTTTAAAAAAAATTCTCAGAACTCTCCAGGGCTTGCAACTTGAGAAAGTTAGTGCTAGACTTATTTTCCTGCTGGCTGCTGGGCATCACATGCAAGACAGAATTGAAAGCTTGAGTAAAAGACAGATAAATGGCCTCTATTGCTTGCCTTCTAGCTTCATGTCCTGTCATCCTGTCACGGAAGGAAATTAAAATTGTCTGGCTGAATTTTATCAAGCCAGACTATTTCTCTACAGGGCCCTGGCAGCCTCTGGATGACGATACAGTAAGGTGATGCTTTTGATCTACATCCGTCATCTCAGGATTTAAGAGTTAAGCAAACCAGTCTTTAATTATGAGGCTGTCTCTCTGTCTCTTTTAGAAAATGAATGTGCTATGTATAGTTTTTTTCTTTCCCCAATTCTCCAGGAATTCTCTTACCTTCTAAGAACCTAAAAACAATAGTTAGTGCCTTAGCAAGCAAATGCATCCTGGTCAAGTAGCTATAAATACCTACAATTTCCCAGCCTGCTTATTATCCCCTCCTCAATGATTTTCCATTCCTGACCTACCTTTCTCCTCCTTCCAAACAAGTGGCATTCAATCTAGAATCAATGTAACACTTATTTTTCAAAGAAATGAACAAGAGCAATTTCTAATTCGAAGAAAAAAGAAGCCCAGCATTAAAACCAATTTCTTCTGAATCATTAAATAGGAGTTCAATGTATAAGAAAAACGCAGTTTAAAAATTCATCCTACAAACCACCTAGAAATCAATATCATACATTTTGTGGACTGTTTTAGAATTATCCTATCAACAGATAGTAATTTAAATTTGGATCTGAGGGAGCTCTGGTGACCTAGTGGTAAGAAAGTGTGCTGCAATCCCAAAGGCACACGGTTAGAATCCACCAGCTGCTCCACGGAAGAATGATGGGTAGTCTCCTCCATGCCATTTACTATCTCTAAAGTTGTATCTATTTTTTAAAAATATCTAAGATTTCTTAGACAATATGTTAGTCTCTATAGCAGTTTAATGCATTAACATCATAAATACTATAGACATACCAATGTTACAGAAGCCATTTAGGTAATCTGATTTTGTCCCATTCACCACCAGAAAGGAAACAAGAAATCTTTCAAAATGTGGATTCCTCTCTTTGTTCCCATATCACTTTATTTTTTTCTTTGTAAGTTTAAGGTCCTTTGAAAATACATTTCCTCTCAACGCCATAACCAACAAGAAAGCAGTAACGAGAGCTCTGATGGTGTAATCGGGCAGCCAAAAAAAAAAAAAAAGAAAAGAAAAGAAAAGAAAATAAAAGCAATAAGAAGGGGAAGAAAATTGTCACCCATGCCACCCTTATGACAGGCAAATAATTATCAGTTTTCCAGTATAGCACTCAGATCAGTCTCTTGCACTTTGTGGTCTTACATTCAGTGTGGTTTCCCTTCCTTCCACTGGAACCTCAGAGTTCTCACTTGTTAGAAGTGAACAATACATGTCTATTGCCTAGAGCCACAGAGGAAAAACAAGTGTCAAAAATAGGAAGAAGAAAAGGAATATGTGGCCATGAATCACTGCCTTCTTTGTTATG